CACTGCCACTGACATGCCTAAGGTAGTATCGATGAACATTCACTTCAGTGATTCACAAATGGATCCGCCCGCCAGTGGTCTAGCCACGCCTTTCTCTCCCTTTCAATTCTACCTAACCATCGCAATTGGAAATTATGCCCCTTCCCTTACCCGGATCGGCTCCATCCGCAAAACCGTCTCTGTCGACATTTCCCCATCCATGTGTAGAACCCTGTTCACGACGTCAGTGGCTGGTCTGATTTGGGTCCCGTGCTTTTCTTTTTGGCAACAACTCTAGCGCAGCTAAAACTAAAGCGGAAAACATGAAGATCCACATATCCACGGGGATAAGAAAAAAAAATCATTTGACATTGAAAGGGGAAGGGGGGCTTGCCTGTACAGTTCCTGGTCTAGTGGTGGTCGGTCTACAGCTTTAAAGTGGGTTTTACATTATGGGTCATTGGGTCTGCAGTAAAATTGCATGACCTTTTCTACAGCAACAATGAGGTCAGAATTTCATGGAATGCACGCCCACCATTTCATTTCGCTAAAGACCACTGCACCACTGCACCACTGCACCACAGGAAACAGAATCCATGACGGATAGATTTTCCCCACCTATAAATCAGGGAGATTGCACTTCCCAACTGTGCGGTTGACGGGTGGCACTGGCACTGGCCCTGGCACTGTCAAAGTCCTGTCACCAGTCATCAACGGACCCAAGGGTATGTGCACGTATCACCTGGTCCTTGTCCCCTTCTTTTGGGGTGTGTGCTCGGTAGACTTGCTTGATGGGAACAACAAGAAGCATAATTGACTAGAGGAACGAATACGGGATATTGTTCATTCCCCCCAATATGCAGGAATTAATGTATGAACGACCAAGAGTAAGATTATCTTGTAGATCTCCGACGCAATCCTGTTTCCTTTGATGGTGACAACTGACAAGGGAAGGAGGGGTCTGACCCGAGAGTCTAGATTTTCTTGTTCAAATTCCATGTACTGAACTACAAGTATGTAAGTCATGTTGATCATGGTCTAGAGTTGATGGTCCTCGATAGTTCCCCCCATAATAATAAAATGATGGATTATGATTAAGTCACGGGAATCACTAAAGTGGCCACATACATATGTGTGCACGCATTACAAGAACTAGGTTCCAATCATCACAACTTACTGTGTGGAAAAGTCCAGTCCATTCTAAAAGAGAGGTGCGATAACCAGTCTACTACATAGTACTTGCTATGCGATGCACCTTCAATCTATTCCGACCCGTGGTAGTATCCAGCATCCCTCTCGCCATCTTCCCCGATACAGTATCACTACCACCACTCACTATCCCGCAACATCACCATCATCCTCCCATTCATGCACAGTTATCAGACGATCCAAAACCCCAGAACCACCCACACCAAATCCTCCTGGGACTCATAAAACCAACCACGCAACCACGCAACCCCCCAACCTCAACCCCATCCAACAACATACACCGTACCCAAAAAACCCTTTAATCAACCCGACACAAGCCAACTGACTACCCCACAAACCCAGATTTTCCACGTACTTTACATACACAGATAAAATTCCTCATCCCAACTCCACACCCCCAATATCGCTTGTGAACACAATACCCAATCAAGCTGTCGACAACTACATTCCCCTCCGATCGCATTCATCATTCTCATCAACCTGAATCCAGGAAATTATTGTCGGGGAATATATTAAAAACGGCCCCCCGCCCGCCCCTCCTCCCATTTTGATCCCGCCCCGTCATCTCATTTAGAGTTGGTCGTGGTACGTATACGTATACACCCTTCCACTTGGTTCCCTCCCGTCCCTGGCCTGGCCAACGCCCCGGCGCTCGGGTTTCTTTCCTTTATTGTTTCCCTGGACATACGGTTCTTCAAGAAGGGAAGGGAAGGAAACGCCACCGGACGAAAGAGGGAGGTTGTGCAGTGGTCACGGTCTCGACCCCGAAGGGTGTCTGTTTGATTCGGTCTGTAGCTCCCCTACTATGGGATCGGTATTCTCTTGTTTGATTTTGGGGATTTCTGGGGAATAAACCAAGGACAAGGAAATAGGCGGCAGGTTCGGTCTCTAGGTTGAATCGCGTACTAAGGTCAATCCAGGCTGCATGCAGCTGAGGCAGTAGTTGGTTTGCGGCTTGCTAGAGATTAAACTGGTTAGTACTCGCAGTCACGTCCCCGGACAGGGAGTCCGAGAGCTGGGGTTCAGGAATTGCCGAGAATCTACTTATACTATGCTTGATATTGTTCAACTCCCGGGGTTCACTTGCCCTGCATTGATCATAGGTCTAGGTGGATGTCAATGCTCTACTACTTCGTGTTCTTGTGGGACGGTATAGGTGTCGGAGAATGATGGACGGGATTGTTGCTTGCTTTCTACTTCTACTTTGTCGACTCAGAACTGCGAGCTATAACCTGAGGTGAGAGCATCCGGCTGATGCTGGATCTACGGACCCGGTGCTAATTATACCCTGGTTCTTCACGGGTTTCGATATCATTACAAGATAATTTCAGATCAGGGTTAAGACAAGCTGACCGTAGTTACTTCTTAGTCGAGCTGCAATTATAGGATCATGGCCCTGCTGTCTCAATCTTACGGCATGTTCTTTGCGGTTAGTGCAGACCTGATTTCTGACAACAGTCCTCAAATCCTCACATTTGTAATCAACGCATATCAAGCACAGATATAGCAACACGATTCCTTCCGCCTGATGGATCAGACTCCGTGCCCAGCCCTAGGTAGTACTTGACCAGATAAAGGACCTCCCTCACATGCCCTTCCCCCCTCTCCCGCAGGATCTCTAGCTCAAACCTTGCTCGACATAACACCAACGCCAGAGTCTCCGGGGGAGGATGATACGGCGGACCCGGGGGAATGGATGGCGGCGCACCCTGCCGACCTCCTCGATTTGCAATTCTGCTTTCGAGAGGATCATCTCATCAGCCAACCATCACCGTCATCACCAGCATTCAGGACAACCCTATCCAACAAAACCCCATCTCCCATCCCCACGAGGCTGCTGCTCACTTCGGAACGGGAAACAATGCTAACCCCCGGGGCACGTATCATGACTAGGAAATCAGTATATAGCCCCCACCCTCCCTCGTACACATATGTAGCAGCCGGAAGCATGAAGGCTGCAAGCAGATACACATCTGCCTCATACAAAACGCAGTACTCAGACGAAGTCAACCAATGTATCACATGTGCCCATGAATCCTGGGAAACCACGCCATCGGTTATGCATGCAGGGTAAGTAAGATGATATACCAAACATCAGGCGACAATTCCCCAGATGCCAACTGGGCAAAGGTAGGAGTCTGAAAGAAGAAGAGAGACAGGGGTGACGAGGAACAGCGGCTCTGATTCTTCCCTTCAGCGGGCAGAAATAGAGAGGGATGTTGTTGCGAGTGGTTGCGTATCTGAAGTAGGATGCCTCGATGGGATTATCCCGCATTGCGTTTCTTCAACTTCATGTCCAAAGTCCGTAGGTATACGGCGAGAATCGGGGGCCGTGCGTACAACATAAGTGAAGCTGAGACTCACTCTAGGAAGTCATCTACAGCACCAGTGGCAGTGTACCATCAAGCTCGCGAACGAGAATTCGTGTAGTAAAGACCCGGAAGGAACCATCCATAATCAAGATAACATACCCTTACTCACGCCCTAGAGGCAGGGACAATCCTACCTAGTAGCTCCAAGACGAGACAGGCAGACCAACAACAACAACAACAACAACAACAACAACAGCAGCGTCGAACCTCCCCCTAATTCCACTGTTGGTGACTGTTCAAGCCGACCTTGAAACAAGGATGCTCCCGAAGCAGTGGTCTTATCTTTGTGTTTGTTGGCAATGGCAGTTTCCACTGTTCGAACATCACAGGATGTAAGGACAAGCTGACCATGTCTCGGCTGTGGCGCGGATGATAATGTCCTTTAAAGGAGCCTGTTTCAGAACGCCATGCGCTTGCCAATGGGATGAAGATTTGATGAATTGGCCCATTTGGAAGAAAGCCCAGAGCTGCGGTCGCACAATATCATGGAACGTTCAAGAGAAGTATCTCGGCTATTCATGTACTCATTCATGTAGTGCTTAGCATCATGCCATCAAGATAAGTAGTACTGGAGAAGATGTAGCCTGAATTTCAAAGGCCTGGTATGAATAAGGCAAGGAACTTCTGGAAAAGGCTCGCCGCATTGGTTAGCTCGGTCGCTCAATGCACCAAAAGCAAGTCAGACTCACCGTTGATGCATGTCCGTAGCTTGAAATACAGCTTGACTCATTACAGGTGAATCTTTACACATGTGGCTAGTTTGGAAACTGACTGTTTGTAATTGGTCTGTATTTCACTATCTGGTGTAAACAGAGTAAGCTGAGTTACGACGCGCGTCTCAGAGTTAACTCATCGGTCGACTGCCCAGTGGGCTATAAAACTCGACTACCATTCGAATCCCTAACCGCCTAAACAGGGCCCATTGCTCCCGAGCTTGCATCGCAATGCGTAGTGCAACAGCCTTGCTGCAATTGTTGGCTGGACCGCCCCTGCCCGCTGGCTGATGAATACCCGCCGCACAAGTGCATCTCCGCGGATCACCTCCTTGCGTACGTGGCTAGAGGCCGACAGCTTGATAGCTGCCATGCGAATCATATGAGCCTTGCAGGACTAGCCCACGTAGAGATCCCTTGCGTGATAATGCGGCGGGTTGATCTGTGAGAGGAGTAGGTCGCAAAATCTAGGGAGATAGCAAATTGTTCGCTTCCCGTCGCCACGTCCCACCCCAGATCTGAGTTTCGACTCGAGTGTCCTCCAGAGTCATAGAACTGCATGTGAGTAATGCTTCCCGCAGAGCTAATCACTTTCGACCCGTTTGACAGAGTGAACCGGAGTCATGCAGCCATGCCTCGATGGGTGGAAGGTGGATCGCTCGTATTCGTGACCATCAAGTCGAAAGGTCGGAAACTTTGATTATGACACCATACCAAGGTAGCACTTTCAAGACGTCACAGATCTTCTGCGAGCATCCGCGTGGCGGCGAGTGTGGAAACGTTCAGGCCGGTCGGTCCGACGTGACTGCATGCCGCGACCGGCGGTAACCTTGGCCATCAGCTTTTGTTCGTCGCCCATTGTGATTGTGACTGGCGTGCAGTTGGCCGATTTGGCCACAACAGCCGGTCGTGACGAGTCACAGTGGAAGCCGGCGTGGTACGACATTGAGGGCGGCAGGTCTTGCCGATCCAGCGCCGCTTGCAGCTCCAGACACTGCAACACCAGCTCCTTGACACTATCGGTCAGCGCATACGCGCGGTATTCGATATCCGGCCAAAAATCATCGCCCCAGAAGGGATCTTCCCGGACGGCGGCTTCCAATGACCTGAGCCAGAAATCAAAGCTCGGCAATCGTCTCTTTGTCCCTTGCAAGTGGTCGGACAAGAGACAGGCCACGGCGATGAAGCGGATGGTGGGCTCGGAATTCATCACATGAAGTACAATGCACGCCGGGCAACGCTCCGTCAAGTACCAATCGTGTTCCTCAGTCAAAATCGAGTGTAACCAGGCATAGGCACTCCGTGCCTCCCCCCGGAAGGCCCGGTCGGCCTCCGCTCCTTTGCGACTGGGCAGGACATTGGCGGCGATGCGCGAGGCTTCGTGATACAGGAGAGACAAGGGAAGAAGCAGCGTGTGGATGATGTCGCGATGCAGACGGAATGTCTCTTGTTCCTGGGCAAGACAGGAGTTGCGGTGGCAGGCGCAAAAGCTACAATCCACCCCAATTAGCCCTTGGATAACCGAAACAACCAGCCTCTTCAAGTCACATACCTTGGGGCCTTCATGCCCATTTCCTGTCGCCTGAGATGTTCTCGCATCATGCGAAAAGCCTCATTGCGACCCAGGTTGTCGCGGTCCTGGTGCGAGATGCGAAATGGCGATACAGTATTGGCAGTCGACATGGTTCTCAATTGAGTCGCCCGTGGACTATGTGGGGACAATCGTAGTATTTAAAAAGGGTATTTGGTAGACGCGACACTGAGTCGCCTTGTGGATGAATCGTGGTGAGGTGCTATGATGAGGTAGACAGTGTGCGCATACAACTAATCTGTGGCCAATCAATTATGGCAAGCACAGGCAGAGAAGCTTTCCTGAAACGGCAATGATGAGGGAGGAAGGAACCACGGATAGCATGTTCCAAAAAAAAAATTAACTTGGAGAGTTAATGGACAGAGCAGACTGATTTCTCGAGGGGAGTAGTGAGGTTGATAAGCAAGCGAAACCACAACAGCGACCAGTGATGAGTGACGAGAAAAATCCGGGGATGAGAGAGATTGGGGAGGGGGGAGGGGAGGGAAACAAAAGCGAATATGAATATTATTATAATAAGCGCGATTGACAGCGACAAGGGGAGATGGAGAGAGAGGGGGGTTAGATGAAAAAGGAAAAGGAGGAAATGAAACGGTGACGAGCGATGCCCACTGCATCGAATGCGGGAAGGGACCTTGAAGCCAGCCAAAGCCAGCCCAACCCAGGCGAGGCCCCGTCATCCACGCAAGCCCCCGACGATCCAATTCAACTGCTCCAACATCCACCCCCCCCTTCCCCTTCAATTCCTTTATCTCTCAATCTCTTCACACCGTTACACCCCTGCGACCGTTCAATATCCTGATTCCGGTCTGCAGCTTCGATGCGTGCAACGCTCGCCGCTTCCGATAGTACCTGTATGCTTTTGCCGCCAATTTTTGGCATCCTTCCTGCCCTTCCACCAGATCCGGAAAATTGAATGGAATTGTGTGGACAGTGGGAGGGAGGGAACGGACCTCGTCCGCACAGTGATCCTCATTACCTGGCCATGGATCGGCCAGGGTCTCGATCGTTGTCCAGACCCAGTGGCCCCTCGTGCTGCCCGGGCAGGCCTTGACTAAAGTTGACTCTGAATAACTCGGTCCATAGAAGGTCCATAAAAAAGGGGGGGCAATTTCAGTCGAAGGCCGCCAACTGGCTCGGGAAAGTCTGGGCCGCCCACCAAACTAGTCGAGATAGTTAATGATAGTTGGGCACGATTCCCGCTGCCATCACGATAGTCTCCCACGTATGGCGTCACAAGCCAACAAAGCCAACACATGAAATCAAGGTCCAAGACATCGGAGAGGCAAATCGAGAAGAACACGAACAACGGCTGCTTTTTTTGGTCCGTGGGTTTTGCCCCTGCTCCTTTTTCGGGGGGGTCTTTTGGGGGGTATCGAATCTCAAGGTGAGAAACATGTAGATTGCGCTTTAATTATCCCAGTGGGATGCAGTGGGGGGGAACAATTGAGACATTGCAGCAACACCATTGGCGGGGATGTCTGAGATCGGAGAATGACTAAGCTCACCTGATCCCGGCCTGCCATTCCGGGCATTTCCGACGCTCCTCGGACGAGGTCGGCTTAGTTCCATTGCTTCCAGTGCAATGGCCTGAAGAGCCAGGCCCCGACGACGGTTCATTCCTCCCTCCCGAATTACCCGATTAGGAAGGGAGAATAATACACTCACTACCTCCTGGACTGCACTTACTGCATACTGCACTGCTGAGTCGCATTTCAGTTCTCTCTCTCTCTCTCTCTCTCTCCCTATCTTCCAGAGACTATGCTGAGTGTGCATAGTCAATCCCTCCGAAGCATTGTTCGCGTCGCTGCAACGCGAACCCTGCATACATCCATGTCACCAGTATGGCAGCTTGAAACTCAGGCATTTGACAACTCCCTCTGTCTTCCACCTTTAATTCCCCGCCCCCTGTCTGCCATTCCGCTGCATTCCAACTCATCCCCCGACACCAATGGCTTCAAGGAGGCCTGCGCGAATGCTCTTTGACGTAATGCTACTGGAAATACCATTGCCAGGCATGTCTCCGTCCAGAAATTCACGGTGCCACGGTATGGCTGGGAGCCATCTCAACCTTCCAGGTATCGCGTCGCGAGGGTGTTGAGCAGCATGGCATCACATGTTAAAGAAGGCGATTTTATCCCATGAGATACACGTCTGGGTTCTAGTGTTTTCAGTTGTTCTGTTCTCAATCGAGTTGCATATCGCGGAGAATTGGTTCGACTGTCTATCGAACCCTTGCAGCTGCTGCTTCGGTGAACATAACTGGCCCGGTAGCTGGTCTAGCACACATTCGCCTTCGTGCACACGAAGCTCCTGTTGCAAACTCGTCTGTCAGACAGGTACAATCGCTTTGTCCTCATTCATCTGCTCGACATTAGCCATTCTGCACGAACGACCGCCACACGTCGACATTGAAGCACCCTCAGCTATAAGCCGACGCACATTAGCTCAACTCGCACAGAATGAAGGCACGCTGCTCACCGTCGCTGGCGACACTCTCTCTGCTGCTCGCAGCATCAGTGCCTCGCGCCGCACATGCCATTCAGACAATTTCGGCCGTGGGCTCGAAATTCTTCTATGAGGACGGCAGGCAATACTATATAAAAGGTACAGCGCAGCGGCCTACCAATACCACTTCACCGATCCTCCTTACTAACGCAAGTGCCCTTGGCGCTAGGAATCGCCTATCAGCTCGTTCCCGACGATCCCTTGATTGACACCGCTCAATGCACGCGAGATGCGGCCCGCATGGCTGAGTTGGGCACCAACGCAATCCGCGTCTATCATGTGGACCCTGAAGCCGACCACGACGGCTGCATGAAGGCCTTCGAAGATGCAGGCATCTATCTCTTTGTGGATCTGGACACGTTCGATACAGCGATCTCCCAGGTCCGTTCCCAACCTACAGAACCTCATGCCGGGTCACATGACCGCCCTGTCGCCGTGATACTAATGACCGTGTAGGTCGAGCCCCATTGGGACCAGACCCAATATGACCGGTTCGCAGCTGTTCTGGATGAATTCCAACAATATAACAACACGGCCGGATTTTTCGTCGGCAACGAAGTCCTCACCACCAAGGATGGCTCTGCCGCCGCGCCATACGTGCTAGCCGCCGTTCGCGACATGAAATCTCACCGCGACGAGAAGGGATACCGCCCAATCCCCGTGGGCTACTCTGCAGCCGATATCGCGGAGCTGCGGCCCATGCTACAGAACTACCTGGCCTGTCGGTCTGACCCCGCCGAGCGACTGGACTTCTTCGCCCTAAACGCTTACGAATGGTGTGGGGAGTCGACCTTCACCCAATCCGGGTATGAGTCTCTCCAGAAGCAAGCCGAGGGCTACCCCGCCCCAATCTTCTTCTCAGAGACTGGCTGCAATGTCGCGCGGCCGCGGACCTTCGGCGACCAGGCCGCCATCTTCGGCCCCGAAATGGCGGACACCTGGTCAGGATCGATGATCTACGAGTGGATCGAGGAGACCAACGACTACGGGCTAGTGAACTACGGCCCTCCACCGCCTCCGGCCGCGGACTCACCCGCCGCCGCCGCGGCCACTACAAACGGGCCTCTCGTGCAGGATGGCTTCGTCCGCCAGGGCGAACCCACCCCCGTCGCACCGGACTTCGACAACCTCAAAGCGCAATGGGCCACTCTGAACCCCACCGGCGTCGCTCTATCCGACTACGCCGCCTCCACCGCCACCATCACCCCGCCAGCGTGTCCCGCCTCTACCGCCGGCGGATGGGCCGTCGACCCCAGCGCGCCGCTGCCGACCCTAGGCCAAGCGGCCCCATCCCACCGCGCGGCACCGACAGGCGCGGTGACCGGCGGCGACTTATCTTCCTCCAAGGATGACAGCACCCCGCGGCAGCAGAAGGAGGTCGATACCTCGGACGCCATGTCCGCGTCCTCGGCGCAGACCATCCTCCCCTCCTACGAGCTCAGCAACGGGGCCGGTTCCTTTGCGATCCTTCGCGAGGGCAGCCTCAATCGCGCCATCAAGGTGTCCCTCGCTCTGTGCACGGTGGTCGGAGGCCTGGCGCTGTGGTTATGATCCATGGTGATTTGACGTATGTTACGCAAGTTTTTTGGGGTATTTCGCTTTTTACGGTGTCCCAGCGTTGTCCTTTCCCAAAATTCAGGCGATCCTACATTGTTCGCGGTCCCTCGCTTTTTGTTTTTGTCTTTGAATCTTCTTCATGCATTGCCGTCTAGTCCGAGCCCGAGGGTGGTTGGCCACTGGATGGCCACCCCTCATCAATCCAATATCAGTTGGAACATAGCTATAAAATATACATTGAGCAAGCGAAGAAATTTCCCATGCAGGCGACTCTTACACAGTAGTTACACAGTCAGTCACCCATAGGGAAGTGGGGACTGGAATATCTTTGACACGTATAAAGCGGCTCACTTTGTAAGCAGAGAAAGGCCAGGTGATCAAAAAGAGAATTAGGTATCAATTACAATTCACAATTCACGCCGAGAGACTCCACCTGCACACCATGCATCGTCACTCATCACGCCGGGAGGGGGGTAGGGGGGTAAGGGGGATGGGGGTGAGCTTAGGGGTAGAGAATATCTTATGGCTGTCAAATATGAGAAAGGGATATACAATATGTGGTGGAAGGTGCAAGAGATCAGTTGGGCGGATAGTGGCTGAATAAAGACGGGATTAAGGGGGTGGGTTGAAGGTTCAGTACGCATCTGCACTGTATCGGCAGGAAACGTTTCGAGGGAAGGGTAATGATGATGAAGGAGATACTAGTGAGAAGAGCAGAGGGAAAAAAAGGATGGGGGATGGGGGCTGCGGCGATTGTTGCGCGATGGCGAGCTAGGTGCTAAGAATATTAGAAGTACAGATATGTGCACTGCTGGGAATTATGTTCATAAGGAAATAAGTGAAAGGTGGGAGCAAGGCTAGTTCTTCCCCATTGCGATGCTATAGTTCCACGAGGGATCATGGTGCATTGTCGGCCCGGATGCATACTCGGGGTCCAGCCAAGGCGATGGGGATGCCGTCCTGGAACTGATATACCGGTCATGTTGTTCGGGGTCGGTGTCGCTGCCGGCGGTGACATGACTATCTG